GGCAAGAAATACCCCCTTTATTGTCATATCAGAGGTCTGTTTGGTGATAAAATGTTTGGACTTTTCCTCCAGCTAACAGCGTGGGTCTTCCGGTGCTGAATCCGAGAACAGAGCGTCTAAACGCCGCGGGGACACATGTGATGATGTTTACAATCTTAATTCTGAAAACCCAAAGACGAGGCTTTTGTTACGGACTTTATGTTATAACAATTGTATTGGCAGTAATCATTCGTAAGTAATATTTTATGTAAACAAGTACACATTATATGCTATAAAAAAATATTATATATGATTGATATATTTGCTATTGCCCTCGTTTGTGCATCACTTAAAAGTAATTTGTATCAGGCCTAAATGTACCTGTGTTTGCTGATGAGAGAGGAGCATCCATATATAATAATAACGAACATCAGTAAAATGGAGTTGAACACGGGAGATGCCTGAAACTGCTCTTTTTGAAGTCTTGAAAAGCAACAGACTGTTACTAATATCAGATTAGAGTTCAATGTATTCAATTAGAAGTATAAGTACTGCTGACAAATATGTAGTTGTGTAAATAATACCTAACTTTTCATGACACATACAGTAAAGATGCTTTACACTTCAGACATAAAGAACAAAATCATAATGAAACCAACAAGTTTGATTTTATAGATGTTTTATGTCCAGATTTTTTCTCTATGAATCGCACACTGTAGAAGAGACTGCAGCTGTGTCAGAGGCAGACGCCCAGGACTCTGCTGATGCTCCTTCTGCTGCTGTTGCTGTTGCTCCTCCTCCTGCTGCTGCTGCTGTTGCTCCTCCTCCTGCTGCTGTTGCTCCTCCTCCTGCTGCTTCTGCTGTTGCTCCTCTTGCTTTGTCTTCAGAGATGCAGAGCCCACTGTCCTAACTATTCATGACTGATGATTAATTAAAAGATGTAAATATCATTTTGTTGTAGTTCATATTGTAATCTGCAATGAAGCAGGAGGTGATGGAGGTGAAGCTGGAGAAATGATGGCGTCTGATTTTGTTGCTGTCAGACAAAGTTAATTTCACCAGAAGTATCTGAAAAAGAAGAACACACAAACATCATACATTAAAGCACTGACACCACACTTACGATTCTGTTCACACTTCATATTCATGTAATAATTATTAGGGGTCTTGCTTTTTTCAATTTGCAATAAGCTGGTTAAAAATATAATACAGAAATCCTTCCTGTATTTAATATTAGAGGTACAAGCGTTCACAGCAGGAGAAACAGACGCTCTGAGGAGTAACAGAAGAATTAATATTGCAGCATCACTGGGGGAAAAACAATTAAAAGACGCGTGTTTCAGACCATGTGAGTCTCGTGCTATTCACGCGTGAAAGGCGACAAAACGAAATGGGACCTACTGTAGGTAAGACTCAGGTAAGACTTAGAATTACAACCTTAAGTTTAAAAACACAGCTTGTCAGTCAAGCTGCATATAAAGAGCCTTTAAGTATGGTAACAGCACTATCCTCTCCTCTATTCTACTTTTTTCTGTTTTTGTATGATATGTTGTAGTCTGTTAATTACTATTCATCTGCTGTCCCATGGTGTGAGGATGGGACCCCTGAATCTGTCCTCCTCCATCGGCTCCTGTTGCACTGTCTTCCCCCCTCCCAGACTCGTGGGACACAAGTCCGATGGGCAACCAGCCAATGCACTTCACGGCCACGATGACACTGGAGTTGTGCAATCACTCATGACTACATCATGAAATGAATAGTTGCAAATATGACCCATCAGGCTCCAGATCAGATCACTAGATTATGTAAACAGTGTTTTCCCCAATTCAAGCATAAATAAGATACAGTACAGACCAAAAGTTTGGACACACTTTCTCATTCAATGACTGTCCTTTCTTTTCATGACTATTGACTGTAGATTCACACCCAGACTGTGTTAGGGCTATTTGACCAATAAGGAGAGTGGTGGGGTGCTGGGCCAGATGACCTGGACTCCACAGTCACTGGACCTGAACCCAGTCTAGAAGGTGAGCTGGACCACAGAGTGAAGGCGAAAAAGCCAACAAGTGCTAAGCATCTCTGGGAACTCCTTCAAGACTGTTGGAAGTCCATTTCAGGTCACTACTTCTTGAAGCTCATCAAAAGAATGCCAAGACTGTGGGAAGCAGTAATCAGAGCAAAAGGTGGCTACTTTGAAGAACCTAGAATATAAGACATTTTCAATTGTTTCATACTTTTTTTTAGTACATACATAATTCCACGTGAGTTAATTAATAGTTTTGATGCCTTCAGTGTGAATCTACAATTTTCATAATCGCTTTATGAATGAGAAGGTGTATCCAAAATGTTGGTCTGTACTGTACATGACTAACACCTGAGAGTGTACATGACGAGGGACACAAGGGTAATGCGACCAGAAGCCGTGACTGCTTGATTTGGATGGGATGCCCCTTTAATCATATGTTGACAGAGGAAAAAGACCTGACTGTGTCTTTCTCTTAACTCTTGTTTTTGCATTTCTGCCACTCATTTTATCCCATTTCAAACTCATTTCACATCTCATAATTATGCAGATGTGCAGATATAGCAGCAGTTCCATTTGTGGTGTTAATCTCTTGTTTTCCTACGGTTGTGTTGGAGGCAGCTGATTGGCTCTGGCGCTGATTGCAAACCCACACAGATGATTTGATTCGCTCCACAGCCCTTGTAATCAGTGGCAACACTTTGGCCATGTAATGAGTCCACCAGGCTGACGTGAGCAGAGGTGGATTCAAGATACTTCAACAACAATATTCATCACAAAGTAATTATACACCTGTATGCTTCGCAAATGCAGTCAAAGTAAAGCTGACGGAAGAACAACACAAACACACAGGAGTCTGGGATTGAATCTGGGATTGAATGTTTGGATTACAAATCCAAACATGCTAAAATACGTTTTATTGAAATAAGCTACTGGGGCGTGTCCTATCTGCAACCAACTGATCCGACAGTTCAGAAAGTTTTATTACGGATACGGTTAAGGAAATTAGTTTTTTGCATTTGACCCATTCTCCATTGCCACTAGGGCCTCTATCATTCAATCAATCAATCAGTTTGCAACACTCAAAGCGACCAAAGTACTTTACAATAAAATCACAAAAAATCCATTAAAACATTCATACAATCAAAAAACATAAGTTGAAAAGCATTACAAAAGCAAAAAAAAGTGCCACCGCGCTAATCAGTGTTAAAGGCCAATCAAGTTTTGAGTCGTGACTTAAAAGGACAAAATAAATGAGCACATGAAAAATGTAAATGAGTTCCAGAGTCTCTAAGTTCAGCGACTGAGAAGGACCGATCACCTCAGTGTTTGCACCTGGTCCTGGGTACTTCCAAGAGGAGTTGGGTTTATGACCTCAATGGTCTGCCTGAGTCATGAACAGTTAAAAGCTCAGACAAGTACAGAGGGGTAAATTTTTTTAAATAAACTTGAAACGAAACTGGGAGCCAATGTAGTAAAAAAAGGGCCGGGGTGATGTGTTAACGTCTGGGTGTGTTTGTTAAAAAGTGTGCTGCAGCATTTTGCACCAACTGAAGACGATTAAAACCAGTTTAAAAAAGGATTTACCTTAGTTAAGATATGTAGCTGATAAAAACTTGACCTGACCACACTGTCAATCGGTTGCCAAAATTAAAAGAATGAAAAAAATAACACCAAGGTTACTGACCATTGCTTTAAAACAATGGTTAGTGGTCTCCACAGTGCAGAGCCCGGGGACCCATATCCAGATGTATATGCTTGGCTTGGTCAGTACCATTTCTTGCCAATTATAAGATAAGATAAAATAAGAATTTATTGATCTCACACTGGAGAAATGTACATGTCACATTTGGCATAGATAGAATCATTCAAAAGACAGAAGTATGCAAACCTATGTACACACAGAGAGCACACACAAACTTCAGTCCCTGAGGTCCTCAAACCGGACTCAATTGGGCTCCTGTGGCCCCCAAACCATATTCCCCCTGGTCCCTCTGGCCCCAAAACCAGACTTCCTCTGGCCCACGGTTGGGCCAAAACATTCTGTCAATGAAAACAATGAACAGAACCGTTGACAAAGGGCAGCCTTGGTGGAGGCCAAAAGGGCCAAAAGGGTGGAGGCAAAGGGCCCTGGAAAGCCTTTTCCAGATCAACAAAGCACATGTGGACTGAGGCAAACTGCCATAGTCCATTGATACCTTATAAAGGGGACAGAGCCGGTACAGTGTTCCTGGGACAGGATGAAAACCACACTGCTCCTCCTGAATCTGAGATTCGACTTGGAACACACAGTCATTACAGTATGACGCAGCACCAAACCATATGGTCAAAATGTGATAATTCGAGATTGTTTGAAACATCATAATAGAAAATGTTATTGGAAATTGTCTGAAATTTCCTCCTGTGTCTTCTCTCCACTCTTATCTCACATTCCTCGGCCAAGGCCATAATAACAAGGTCCCATCTACAACAACTCACACTATTCAGTCTCCAGCACGGATCCCTCACCCCCGCCTCCCTCTACCTATCCATCTTGCTCCCTCCCTCCCCTCCACTCCTCATTGTGTTTCCGACTCACCCCCTCCCTGAGTCGGCCACATTGGCCGGCTGTCGGAGGTGCTCATCCCGAGAAAAAAATGTGTGGTTCATACAAAGCACAATGTGTCTATCCAACTGTCTGTGAAACTGTATGTTATTGCTCTCTGCTGTTTATTCTACTGTTTGTCGCATGGCACCGTAAAGATGGCGCCGTGGCAAGAGCTCTGGTGTGTGTCGTCTTCTCTGTCTGGTGAATCTGAATCTGAATCTGAAAGATTTGTGAGATCTATTCTGTTTCACTTGTTGCTGTTTCTTCACTGAAGTTTGTTTATTAAACAATGGTTTCTTAGTTAAATGTCTGGTTCATTCATTTATGGAGAGTCTTTACTCTGGAGTAGCCTTTTATGCAACACTGCAAAAGGGAACCATTTTCTAAAGTTGTTCCTACATTTTTACGGACTTTCCCACAGGGATCAGGCTGAGGACAGGGTTAGAATCTGCAGCGTGCAAAGTGCTGAGCGCCGTGCTGGCAGTGCTCGAGTTTGTGTGCTCTGATTCGGAGCCAAAGTCTAATGAGGAGCAGAAAGGAGGCAGACTGGGGGGAGAAGAAGGCAGGGAGCTGGGGAAGAAGGCAAGAGGCTGGCCAGGGAGGTGGGGAAGAAGGCAGGAGACCTAACAGGAAGTGGAGGGGGGGGGGACTTTTGTAATTCAGTCATTGTTTTCTGACCATAAAAGATCTTTTAAGGAGAATACTGACATTGAGGACAACATACATGTACGTGCATCTCGTGTCTACACCATGGCTTTGTGTAAATTATGGGAAACTAGAGGACTACAAGAAGAAAGATGGACTACACTGTTTACTGAGAAAGAAATCACCTAATCTATTTTCGGCATCCCCAACATTAAATCCCCTGGATCATCAAATGGGTGTTCTTACAGTTAATTTATGAGATAAAACAGACCTCAAAACTTCCTGTGAATATGAATTCAGCTGCAATAACAGTGCCTTAAACCAAATAAAGAGCAAACACACATCACACCAGGGGATCCAAGGTCATCACTGTCCTTAGAGCCTTCTCCATCAGCCACTAATGGGCACACCTCGCAACACTTGGGCTACCCCTAATCCTTATAATCTTTTACATATTTATGGAACCACTCGCGGCCTCACAATATCAACAATAATTGTGTACAAACACCAAAACACTAACACGTAAAATCTTACTTTATGCTGATGATATTTTATTCTTAATGCAGAACCCAGTCCCCTCCTTCTGTGGATCGATGCATGCGATAAGTGAGTTAAAAGGTCTCAAGGTAGGTTGGAAAAACCTCTCTCTGATAACTCTCTCATACCACCACATATTACCTATTGTCCATGATCCCCATCCAAGCTTCCAATCCTTCAACATTCAACAGTATAATCTTTTTTGGAAGAATGAGCCAGCAGATATCAACCTGTACAGACTTTTTCAATTATAATTGATCAAATACAGTATATTTTAAAATGGACAATTAGTGGCCAATCAGAGCAGAACATTTTCTACCACTGAGGTATGATTGGAACCACCTAAGTGCGGGGCCGCAGATGCCAACATCATGCTTCAGGCGAGACAAGAGGACCGAATCATCCACAATGTTGAATGCAGTTGTTTAGATCAGGGATCTCAGAAACGCAGCCCCCGGGCTGTTATTTTGTGGCCTCCACCCTATTATGAGAGTTTAATGTTAGTGCGGCCCGTGAGTTTTATATGTAACGCGCTTGACAGCGTTGTGTGCGGAGCTGTAAGAATCTACCAATCACGGTGTGGAACATGGCTCTCGGGACCAGACATTGACGTCACATGTGCTTTCCACTAGACCTGCACACCAGTGCTTAATTTGCAGATGAGTTGATCCCGCTATTACTATATTTGTAGACTGTCTACGGTCACTCAGACATGCTCGGCAGGTTTAATAATGGAGCTGTTCAGAACTTTAGTAATGTATGGAGATATACAGGTAAATTGTCCCCAGGTAAATTGAGTTTGAGACCCCTGTGTTAGATGAAGAAGCACTAAATCAACAAGGCATTTAGCAACAGCAGTTGAATACTACATGCACTTACTGACAATCTGGCGTACTTCACACAGACCAGTCCTTCTACAATAGTGGGGCGCTCCTCTAGGGGGGCGTGGTGCAATGCCAGGGGTGTCAGGCGTGACTGTGGGGCACTTGCTGTTGTTTGCTGGACGTACTCAAACGGGATTCCGCATCCTCTGTGGCTGCAACATTCTGATCCCGGAGCAACTGAATGACAGTGGTTCCCGCCTCCAGCGGCTTGAGCCGCTTTGACAACAATGTGAGCGTGCATATTGTACCCAACACGGACCATACACACGTGCACAGGACCATTCTCTGCTTGATGCAAGTGTGCGTCTGTACCAAGCCCTGGTGATCCAAGATGGTGCCCTATTCGAATGAATGGCTTCTGCTCAGTAGGCGCATGGGACACAAGGACCAAAGGATTAATGGAACTCGCCTATATTTGGGCATCGTCTGGTCCTCCCGTGTCTGCACAGTGGTTGAGCTCCTGTGATGCGTTGAGCCAAATAGAGAAATACGCATGTGTGGCTCGGCAGCGCTTTGACGAATCAGAGCTGCTGATCAGAGCAGCCGTAGAGCGGAGGCTTTGTTGCATTAATATGTAGATTTATAGAAAACTGAAGTGAATAAGGAGAAAAAAAGTTCAGGATAACAAGGGACACTAAAATCCCCACAAAATCCTATCTTCATGAAAGCTGTAGGTTCTCTCTCAGCTTAGGTCATGCTGTTTTTATTTACATTGAGTTCTATGGGAATTTTTTCTGGGTAGCCCAAGTGAATTTATGTCGCTTTTCCACAGTAACAGTACGGTACGGCACGGCACGGCACAACCAAAGTGATACCAAAATGACGTGCGCTGACATGCTTGCAATACCACTCCGGCCCGATGGGGGTGGACCCAGAAGAAGACTTAGCCAATGCTAACGTATAGCATTTGCAGACCTCTCAAAAACGTCTTTACAGGATGGACCAAAAGTTGGCTCTTGGCCCAAAGTTCCGTTCCACATGTGTGTCAATGCTGAGGGAGGTGAATTTTTTGGTCCACTCTAGTTTACTCGCTGTGAATTTTTGAAGTCTCTTGTTCAAATGAATGGAGCTGCGCCGGCTGACGCATGCGCAGATGCAGTTTTTCACAAATTTCTTGTGGGCGGGACCAGTCGCGGCCATTTTGGATAGCTCCGGTAGAGCACAATTTTTGCCCCTTTAGTTTGAACGGCGGAGATAGGCCTGACTACTGTACGTCCGTTAATATTTACAGTCTATGGTGGCAGCTCTGATTGAAAGGAATCACATACCTCTCTCTCTTTTTCCTGACTAACTCCAGACAATCACTTTAACTCATTGTGTGCCATTGACGCACAAATACGTCAAAGTAAATAGTAACGTTGTTACTATTATTAATACGTCAATGGCAACATTTCTCTCTGAATGATTTGAAAACAGTTAGGTTCACACGTTGTGCCTCTTTTTTCTCAACTTTCTGGTGATTTCTGGTGATTTCAGTTAAACTTCCCTCTACTCGACGGAGGATTACAGGGCAAGGAAAAAGGCTATAAACAAAATTATTTTTGCTGAGGAAAGTAGACAGTCCATTCTTTTAGAATCTAGTGTCGGGTTTCAGATAGTCATAGTACACAATATTCTGTGGGTCTTTAAAAATCAGTAAAAACCATCAGAAACGGCAGGCAATATGGAAGTACCTATTCTGAAATGGGCTGGCAGTCAATGAGTTAAGTGTCCATGCCTTCCCTGTGTCTCCTCCCAAAGCACAACTAAAACTCGCAAAATTAAAGCTGTAGTACCTAAATTCTCAGTAAAGTAAAATGTTGTAAACAGAGCAAACCTCAATGGGCAATTTCTTTGCATACTTAAAGTAGTACTAGAATTTACCATGCTGCTATCCAGAATATATAACTACAATATGGGCTTATAATATTTCGGCTGTTCATTTAGACATGTTAAGATGAATTATGTTAAAACAAAAAAGCTGTGAACTCGCACTTTTTCACTTCCGCATAGAAACGCTAGGGGGAGCCCGAATGCAGCATATGACGTAGGTGAATGATCCATTGACTTGAATGCAATTCTTCCGATAAGTTTTTTTGATAACAGAACTCTCAAACCAATAATGACCGAAGCCCCAATGCAATCTGTTTGTAATTCAGGTGTGTAAAATAGTGCCATTACTCTGCAAGTACAACAAGCTATCAGCGCCTGTCACTACACTGTGCAGTTTATCTGCACACTTGTCTGTGTAGCGAAGCTAGCAGAGCTAGCCACGCTCAATAAACAACTACATATCTATCAATCAACTCCATTAAACGTCAATCGGACAATACAGTATACATATACATCCTTAAAACACATGCACGGACGATTTCAGAATTGGCTGTCAACGTTTTTAGGACAAAAATACTGTTTTAATGTTACAAAAAGCGATTGCGAAAAACCCGGAAGTTACCGTGAAACAACTAGCTAGCTTAGCTGTTACCACCCTTGCACGTCCCCGAGCTAACTATTTTATTTGCAGTCATTAAATACATTTCGAATTATAAGGGCTGTCTAATATTTGTTCAAATATATTAGAATTATTTTATTTATTTTAGAATTATATTCGAATTTTGAAGTTGAAGCACTGGTGTTAAGCAGCGCTGTAGAGGCTAGAGGACGCAGGCTGTCCGCTGCTTTTTCTGTGAGTGGAGGAGAACGAGCGTCCCGCTAAGACTCTACTCAGCACTTTTCACTGCTTGTAATTCTTACAAAGCTGAATCAATTACCTCAAGTTTTCAATTAAATGATGTATTATGATACAACTTGTATGTAGTAAAAAGCATTTTTATGAACTACTTAGAAAAAAAATCGGGTATAGCTTCTTTAATTTTGTGAGTTTTGGTTGCGAATAGGAAGGAAACACGGGGGAGACCTGCACTCGCAACAAGCTGGGGATGGTCCTGAACGCGTGTCAGTGGTTCTGTCCGCGCATCTACAGTGCCTTGTGAAAGTATTCGGCCCCCTTGAACCTTTCAACATTTCGCCACATTTCAGGCTTCAAACATAAAGATATTAAAATTACTATTTTTTGTCATGAATCAACAACAAGTGGGACACAATCGAGATGTGGAACGAAATGTATTGGATAATTTAAACTTTTTTAACAAACTAAAAACTGAAAAGTGGGGCGTGCAATATCATTCGGCCCCTTTACTTTCAGTGCAGCAAACTCACTCCAGAAGCTCAGTGAGGATCTTTGAATGATGCAATGTTGTCCTAAATGACTGATGATGATAAATAGAATGCACCTGTGTGTAATCAAGTCTCCGTATAAATGCACCTGCTCTTTGATAGTCTCAGGGTTCTGTTTAAAGCACAGAGAGAACCATGAAGACAAAGGAACACACCAGGCAGGTCCGAGATACTGTTGTGGAGAAGTTTAAAGCCGGATTTGGATACAAAAAGATTTCCCAAGCTTTAAACATCTCAAGAAGAACTGTGCAAGCAATTATATTGAAATGGAAAGAGTATCAGACCACTGCAAATCTACAGAGACCCGGCCGTCCCTCCAAACTTTCATCTCAAACAAGGAGAAGACTGATCAGAGATGCAGCCAAGAGGCCCATGATCACTCTGGATGAACTGCAGATAACTACAGATGAGGTGGGAGAGTCTGTCCATAGGACAACAATCAGTCGTGCACTGCACAAATCTGGCCTTTATGGAAGAGTGGCAAGAAGAAAGCCATTTCGTTTAAAGTTTGCCACAAGCCACCTGGGAGACACATCAAACATGTGGAAGAAGGTGCTCTGGTCAGATGAAACCAAAATCGAACTTTTTGGCCACAATGCAAAACGATATGTTTGGCGTAAAGGCAACACAGCTCATCACCCTGAACACACCATCCCCACTGTCAAACATGGTGGTGGCAGCATCATGGTTTGGGCCTGCTTTTCTTCAGCAGGGACAAGGAAGATGGCTAAAATTGATGGGAAGATGGATGGAGCCAAATACAGGACCATTCTGGAAGAAAACCTGTTGGAGTCTGCAAAAGACCTGAGACTGGGACGGAGATTTATCTTCCAACAGGACAATGATCCAAAACATAAAGCCAAATCTACAATGGAATGGTTCACAAATAGATGTAACCAGGTGTTAGAATGGACAAGTCAAAGTCCAGACCTGAATCCAATCGAGAATCTGTGGAAAGAGCTGAAGACTGCTGTTCACAAACGCTCTCCATCCAACCTCACTGAGCTCGAGCTGTTTTGCAAGGAAGAATGGGCAAGAATGTGCAAAACTGATAGACATACCCCAAGCGACTTGCAGTTGTAATTGCAGCAAAAGGTGGCGCTACAAAGTATTAGCGCAAGGGGGCCAAATAATATTGCACGCCCCACTTTTCAGTTTTTTATTTGTTAAAAAAGTTTAAATTATCCAATAAATTTTGTTCCACTTCACGATTGTGCCCCACTTGTTGTTGATTTTTGACAAATTTTTAAATTTTTATATCTTTATGTTTGAAGCCTGAAATGTGGCGAAATGTTGAAAGGTTCAAGGGGGCCGAATACTACATCCGACGGGTTTTCCCAGATCGCATCACATATTGTTCAAAGGTCCATTTACTTAAAACTAATATCAAACATATGTAGAAGCATTAATAACACACATGATTTGTTGTTATGTCTTTTAACATCTGCAAGCTTCAAGTAGATATAGTGACTCAAAAAGTGATCCAGGTTGGTATGGTTGAGGAAACCATAAAAGGTTTATCCTGAGGTTGCTGAGTGAGGACCACTGAGAACAGAACAAGGGATCACTTAGTTCCAGATGGCTTGGTGGACTGACCTGCAGGTTGCCACAGAAGGGGTAGATTCCCGTTTCGGAGAGGTGGTTGTCCGAATTGGGGTCAGGGTTGCGGGGGCGACTCCGTGGAGAGGGCAGGGTGGTGGTCTCAGGAGACATGGGCCACGCACCAACCTCTGTCCCGTTACCAAACGCCTGGATGGCATTCCCTGAACACAACACACACCAGGTCAGTCAGACACACACACACACACACACACACACACACACACACACACACACACACACACACACACACACACACACACACACACACACACACACACACACACACACACACACACACACACACACACACACACACACACACACACACACACACCTACTCGCTTAAGTCACTTTGGGGGTCGCAAACCTGCAACCCCTACTTAGGGGACCACCCTTTCTGAAACACATAGAGAGATTCTGGCAGGGCCATTTTGTCAATGTGACTGCTCATATACACAAAATCAACTCAGATTTTCCTTTTTCACAACTTTTGTCCCCTGAGTACAGAACCCTCACAATGGGGACAATGAATTTTAAAGTCACTTTTGAGGACAGCTACTATACACACACCCATAAATGTCATATTTGGGGTCGTAATTATACATAAACCCATAAATGTCATATTTGGGGTCTAAATTATACACAAACCCATAAATATCATATTTGGGGTCGTAATTATACACAAACCCATAAATGTCATATTTGGGGTCTAAATTATACACGAACCCATAAATGTCATATTTGGGGTCATCAATACATACAACAATTATCTTACATATACCAAAGTGGTCTCCCTCGAAAAGGATTCTTTTGGATCTCAAGTGACTTCCTCATTAAATAAAGGTTAACAGTGATCATGTAACAGATTCAATTAGGACATAAATGCAGATTTCACTTTTGTCAACTTTAATATGTCACAAAACAAAAGCTCAAAGTAGGGTAAAATGGTTCCATGCATACCTCAAGGCTTTGAAGAAATACTGACAAGGAAAATTGTAAACAATTCAATAAAGGGTCAAACATAAACAGTGGTTAGTGCAGCATAACTTTTGGCACTGGTCAACTGGTACTGTGAAAAAATAACAAATAAATCATCAACAAATATTATCTAGCTTAAGAGAAAACATTCCTAAATCAAATAATGACCGAAAGAACAACATGGATACAAGCAGTCAAAAAATAAGATCCTCAGGATCTGCAGGTGTGACCGACCACAGGCAATATAATGATTTTTTTTTCTTTTTTAGTCTCCCGCACCAAAGTACACCTGAGACTTTTTAGTGCATTATGAACCAACTCTGACTCTGAGGAGCACAGGGACAGGCCTCTTGCTGATGCCCAGAGTCAGAACTAAACATGGGGAGGCAGTATTTCAGATGTATGCAGCTAAAATATGGAACAGTGTTCCTACAAATGTGAGACAGGCTGTCGATACAACTATTAACATAGACAATATGAGATAAAACTTTTGGGGACATCTCCACACCCACATTCTGATGTGGTCTGATTGGGGACTATCATTTGCAACTACACTAGTCAAAATAGTGTTTGACTTTTAGTATTGTGACAACACTACACCAGATATGAGGGCATTCAAATACACCCAACATTATAGGGCTTCATGCAATCTGAACCCGAGCGGTGTTCAGTTGTTGGACTTCTGTGCTAGTCACAGTTTGTCCATCACGAACACCATGTTCGAGCACAAGGGTGTCCACCAGTGCACGTGGCACCAGGACACCCTAGGCCGGAGGTCGATGATTGACTTTGTTGTTGTATCATCTGACCTTCGACCGCGTGTCTCGGACACTCGGGTAAAGAGAGGGGCGGAGTTGTCAACCGATCACCACCTGGTTGTGAGTTGGATCTGCTGGCAGATCCAACTCATTCTGAGCACTGGAACCAGTGGACTCACTATTACTGGCAGTAGATATCTGTAGAAGAGAATTGCAATGCCTTGTTAAAGATATGAACTCGTTTGGAACATGTGATCATTGTTAAAGGAGACACTTACTTGAAGTTTGAGGTTGTCAGGATCACACATTGTGTGTCCAGTCATATCTGTGAGTTGCATCTAAAACATGGTAAAAACAGGATTTGTATTCATCAGGCAAGTTAGCCGGTCTGGAAAGCTTACTTTCAATGATTGACATTGGTCCAGTGGTTTGGACATCACGCTAACAATTTTGCGCACCGGGTTCGATACCGACCACAGGCAATAAAATGATTTATTTTTTATTTTTTAGTCTCCCGCACTAAAGTACACCTGAGTAGGGCTGGGACAACGCGTCAACGTAATCGGTGACGTCGACGCAAAAAATAAACACCGACGTATAATATGCGCGTCGGTGCGTCACACACAAAACAAAGATGGCGGCGAGCGGTAGCAATGCGAGTGCCGTGTTAGAGAAGTGCAAGCCGGTGTAACGCTGAGATACACTGCCTTGAAGAGATGCACAGCCTCAGCTGTTTATCATGTAATGCAAACCTGCGCATGCGCGTCTCACGGCAGCCGAAGCAAACCAAGATGGCGGACCGTGAATTTCTTTAAAAGTTAAAATACGAACGAATTCAGACACGAATGTCACTTTTAATGCAATTTGAGGCAAGATGTTGATGGTTCCGTTTTGTCACATGTGGGTTTTAAGAGTCAAAGTTTCGTGCAAAGTTCAGTCAACTGCTGTGAAACCACAAAGCTAATGTTTTCATAGCAGTCCGCGGCTGCTGACGTAGGCTGATGACTCGTCCTGTGGCAACTCTACAGCTTACAACTAGTCTGTCTTTCTTTGTATCAAACGGAATATTGGCGCCCGTAATAGCCCCTACATGTATTATTCACTGTCATGCCTGCCGTATATGGACATTTTTCAACATGTGTTCAATATCCTTAATGTGTTTAACTGTTGATTGATTCTCTGATCTGTGTTGGTGACTTCAATGTTGTTTTAAGTCCTCTGAGATGACTTCTACTGTATTCTTTCAGTAACTCTAAAAGAAAGGATGACTGGTTGACCTTTTTATTTGCTACACAATGCATTGTTTTTCTCTTGTACACTCTTACTTGAATTTTATTTTTGAATTTTGAGTTTAAGAAAAAGGTGAGTGGCAGAGTTTTGACTGTTATTTTTATATGAATGAAGAATTTAAGAGATGCACTTTAATTAATGGACTTCAGTAATATAGGCCTATGTGTCTTCAACTTAAATGTTAAACTCTGTTGGTTCAGGAAGGACGCCATGACAGGCTGATGGCTCCCACTGTTTTCGCTGGAAAAGCACTCTTTGTTTAGCTTAAAGCCTTCAAGTTTACATTGGTGTTTTCTTTTAGTTGCTCTACACAAGTATTTGGCTGAACTTTTTCATATTTTTATTGAATGCTAAGCATCAAATGTTTGTTTCAAGAATAATAAGATGCACTTTTTTCAGTAAGCTGTGTTTTCAAGGCTTTAAGGTTTTATGCTACCTCTAAGAATGTCTTATTTTTGAATTTTAAGAGCAAGCAATACATATTTTTTGTGAAGGAATTCATGTTTTTTTTCATTAAAATATTTAAATCAACATGTATACATCAATATTAGTCAATTAATGGGGAGATAATCGAGAATCGAATCGAATCGAAATCGAATCGAAGCGAAAAAAATAATCGTTAGATTAATCGATGCATCGAAAAAATAATCGCTAGATTAATCGTTTAAAAAATAATCGTTTATCCCAGCCCTACACCTGAGACTTTTTAGTGCATTATGAACCAACTCTGACTCTAAGGAGCACAGGGACAGGCCTCTTGCTGATGCCCAGAGTCAGAACTAAACATGGGGAGGCAGTATTTCAGATGTATGCAGCTAAAATATGGAACAGTGTTCCTACAAATGTGAGACAGGCTGTCGATACAACTTTTGGGGACATGTACACACCCACATTCTGATGTGGTCTGATTGGGGACTATCATTTGCAACTACACTAGATTACACTATTAACATAGACAATATGAGATACAACTTTTGGGGACATGTACACACCCACATTCTGATGTGGTCTGATTGGGGACTATCATTTGCAACTACACTAGTCAAAGTAATGTTTGACTTTTAGTATTGTGACAACACTACACCAGATAGGAGGGCATTCAAATACACCCAACATTATAGGGCTTCATGCAATAAATTCAGATCTTACCTCATTCTGAGCACTGGAACCAGTGGACTCACTATTACTGGCAGTAGATATCTGTAGAAGAGAATTGCAATGCCTTGTTAAAGATATGAACTCGTTTGGAACATGTGATCATTGTAAAAGGAGACTCTTACTTGAAGTTTGAGGTTGTCAGGATCACACATTGTGTGTCCAGTCATATCTGTGAGTTGCATCTAAAACATGGTAAAAACAGGATTTGTATTCATCAGCCACAATAACAGGTATGGAATATTTACTTCAGCAAGCAACAATGGCCTAGTGGTTTGTACATTGTGCTTACAATTTTGCACACCGGGTTCGATACTGACCACAGGCAATATAATGATTTTTTTTTCTTTTTTAGTGCATTATGAACCAACTCTGACTCTGAGGAGCACAGGGACAGGCCTCTTGCTGATGCCCAGAGTCAGAACTAAACATGGGGAGGCAGTATTTCAGATGTATGCAGCTAAAATATGGAACAGTGTTCCTACAAATGTGAGACAGGCTGTCGATACAACTTTTGGGGACATGTACACACCCACATTCTGATGTGGTCTGATTGGGGACTATCATTTGCAACTACACTAGATTACACTATTAACATAGACAATATGAGATACAACTTTTGGGGACATGTACACACCCACATTCTGATGTGGTCTGATTGGGGACTATCATTTGCAACTACACTAGTCAAAGTAATGTTTGACTTTTAGTATTGTGACAACACTACACCAGATAGGAGGGCATTCAAATACACCCAACATTATAGGGCTTCATGCAATAAATTCAGATCTTACCTCATTCTGAGCACTGGAACCAGTGGACTCACTATTACTGGCAGTAGATATCTGTAGAAGAGAATTGCAATGCCTTGTTAAAGATATGAACTCGTTTGGAACATGTGATCATTGTAAAAGGAGACTCTTACTTGAAGTTTGAGGTTGTCAGGATCATACATTGTGTGTCCAGTCATATCTGTGAGTTGCATCTAAAACATGGTAAAAACAGGATTTGTATTCATCAGCCACAGTAACAGGTATGGAATAGCTATTTCAGCAAGTAACGATGGCCTTTTGGTTTTGGATTTCAGATAGTCATGGTACACAATATTCTGTGGGTCTTGAAAATTCAGTAAAAATCATCAGAAACTGGCAATAATACCTACATTTTCCCTTTCATTAACAGCTCTTGTTGGTTGTACCCAAAAGAAGAAAGTTGTGAGCAAGTCAAACAGATTGAAGTACATTTGGTATGAATAACAATGTGTCATTACATTTGATAATCTCGTTTAAAGGAATAGTTCACCGTTTTTACATACTGACATATGTTCTTACCTTACCTTAGACTAGTTAATACATACCTGTCTGGTCTTAGTCCGTGCGCTCTGTCATGCAAACGGAGCAAAAACGGGAGCACAAATGCAGCCTCCTCTGTATATTTTGTAGCACCAAAAGGTAGCTCCCGCTAGAAGCTACCAAACTCTTCCAAGTGTTCCCTATTAAATGTATATAGTTACGTGACGTGTTACACTGCAAAGTATAGTAACACAGAAATGTAACAGTCGATTTTCTCAGCGGATAAAACGGGTACTATATTGTGAGGCGTAGTAATCTGAGTAGCGCTACGTCCGCGCACTAACTTCTCTCCGGAGACTTCTCTCTCGCTCACTTCCGTCAATAGAAGCAGCTTGAATTGTAGTGCACACAGCACTACAATTCAAGCGGCAATTCAGAGGCAGAGGCTGAGGATGTTGGGGCGGATACATCCATCTCCCTGGCTGAGGTCACCAAGGTGGTTGGTAGCCTCCATGGTGGCAAGGCTCCGGGTGTGGATGAGATCCGCCCTGATTATCTAAAGTCTCTGGATGTTGTAGGACTGTCTTGGCTGACACGTCTCTGCAACATCGCGTGGCGATCGGGGGCGGTGCCAATGGAGTGGCAGACCGGGGTGGTGGTCCCTCTCTACAAGAAGGGGGACCGGAGGGTGTGTTCCAATTATCGTGGGATCACACTCCTCAGCCTCCCCGGTAAGGTCTACTCCAAGGTACTGGAGAGGAGGCTACGGCCGATGGTCGAATCTCGGATCCAGGAGGAGCAGTGTGGTTTTCGTCCCGGTCGCGGAACACTGGACCAGCTCTATACTCTCCATCGGATACTCGAGGGTTCATGGGAGTTCGCCCAACCTGTCCACATGTGCTTTGTGGATTTGGAGAAGGCGTTCGACTGTGTTCCCCGGGGTGTCCTTTGGGGGGTTCTCCGGGAGTACGGGGTCGGGGGTCCTCTGCTGAGGGCCATCCGGTCCCTGTATGACCGGAGCCAGAGCTGTGTTCGCATTGCCGGCAGTAAGTCAGACCTGTTCCCGGTGAATGTTGGCCTCCGACAGGGCTGCCCTTTGTCACCGGTTCTGTTCACTGTATTTATGGACAGAATATCTAGGCGCAGCCAGGGGTCGGAGGGGGTCCGGTTCGGGGACCACAGGATTTCATCTCTGCTGTTTGCGGACAATGTTGTCCTGTTGGCTCCAACGAACCAGGACCTGCAGCATGCACTGGGACGGTTTGCAGCCGAGTGTGAAGCGGCTGGGATGAGAATCAGCACCTCCAAATCTGAGGCCATGGTGCTCGACCGGAAAAAGGTGCCCTGCCCTCTTCAGGTGGGTGGAGAGGTCCTTCCTCAAGTGGAGGAGTTCAAGTATCTCGGGGTCTTGTTCACGAGTGAGGGAAGAATGGAGCGTGAGATTGACAGGCGGATCGGTGCAGCGTGCGCAGTGATGCGGTCGCTGTATCGGACCGTTGTGGTAAAGAAGGAGCTGAGCCGAAAGGCAAAGCTCTCGATTTACCGGTCAATCTTCGTTCCCTCCCTCACCTATGGTCATGAGCTTTGGGTAATGACCGAAAGAACGAGATCGCGGATACAAGCGGTCGAAATGAGCTTCCTCCGCAGAGTGGCTGGGCGCTCCCTTAGAGATAGGGTGAG